CATCTGATGCGCTCTCTCGCCCCATACTCTCCTCTCCGCGCTTAGTCTCTCATTCCCTTAGCACAGCCGATTAGGAAGGTGAGTGAGCCCTTAACCTGAGCGTTTTCGACGGATTCTTTTCCTTTTTTCTTCACTGCCGGCCCACTTCGCACCAATACATTCGCATTCGTGTGCAAGAGCCACACCAAGTGCGATCCTGGGGCATGCCTTTAAGTTACCAAGTAGAAAACAAAAATTTTCGAGGAAGCGCACCTTCACCTTTGAAGGTTATAATAACTTCCTTCAGATGCAACTTTTCGAGCAGCTGTAGAAAAACTCAGGAACCTCAAATAGTTTTTCATTTAGAGGGCAGCAAATGATTCGCGGCGACTTTTTTTGTCGAAAAATCCCCCGTTTGCACTTTTTTCGTGCAAATGCAGGTTTTTGGGCTTTCAATGATCATAGCGTTCTACAGTGCGCGTCAATTGCTTATGCCACCCCCTGATTTTTTCAGTTTTCTGACTTATTTGGAAATTTCGTAAATCGGCATAGCAACCATCGTTTTCGGCGTGTCGGAAAACTAAGAATGGTGTTGTTTGATTTTGGTTAACGCGTGGATTTGAATTGCTCTGTTCTTTTGAAGAAAATGGGCCGCGTCAATTGCTTATGCCATCCTAAAGTTTCTTCAGAATTTCTCATGTCTCTAACGCTATTCAGCTACGGTGTGCATGTAAGTACAAATGAGGAAATCCTCCACTTATGCAATGCACACAAATGGTCGAGCATTTACGATGGGTACCAGGCGGGTTGTGAGTGCGACTCATATTCTCTCTGAACAGAGACTTTGTGAGCGTGAACGCTTCGAGCTTCGCAGGGAGCCGAGACCACAAATAAAGTTGACCACGGATTCGAAGCGGGAAAATGAGAATTTAAGAGCTCCTTGAGCACTTCAATTTCCCCAGTTTTGCCTGGATACACTCCTCGATGAGTTCTACAATAAGCAGCAGGAGCGATCGCAAAAGTGAGCACACAGCTCTTTCTCTGATAAAGCGTTTTCATGCTGCTACCGTCCAGTATAAGGGCTAATATTCCGAACTAATTAGTTATAAATGCTCCACCATTTGTGTGCATTGCATAAGTGGAGGATTTCCTCATTTGTATTACATGCACACCGTAGCTGAATAGCGTTAGAGACATGAGAAATTCTGAAGAAACTTTAGGATGGCATAAGCAATTGACGCGGCCCATTTTCTTCAAAAGAACAGAGCAATTCAAATCCACGCGTTAACCAAAATCAAACAACACCATTCTTAGTTTTCCGACACGCCGAAAACGATGGTTGCTATGCCGATTTACGAAATTTCCAAATAAGTCAGAAAACTGAAAAAAATCAGGGGTGGCATAAGCAATTGACGCGCACTGTACTTTTTCATTTCTGTGGCAAGGTTGGCATGGCAAGGAAGTAAAGGATTGGTCTCCCTAGCAAGCATCTAGTCGTTTTTCAAACCATTTTTCGAAGAAATCACACGTTCGCACTTTTTTCGAGGAAGGGGGTTGCAGTCAATTTTTTTGAAAACGCGAATGTCATTGACCATAACTTTCTTCTTTTTTGTATCTTTGGCAAACTTTTGGTACCGCACCGCGAGAAAGGAGAGACCTGAGCTTTCTAATAAGTGCTTGAATTCTT